CGTGTTTGACGCAACGCATTATGGGGAGATCATCCACTGCGCAGAACCGGGAGGACCAGACGATGCCCAAATACAGGCGAGTTTCCCATAGATCTTTGCGAGTTTCAGGCAACTTCCGCTAATCTTTCTGCCCCCATGCTGTCACAAAGCGCAACCATTCATTTGAATAGGGCGCCATCTTGGATCGCCGGGGCTTGCTTCAGATAGACAAAACAAGGGAAAAGTACAGGCTTCTGCACATTGATAGAATGATGAGTTCAACTTTAAGAAAAGTTGCTTAAAAGTGTTATGAAATCTCACACCCCTTTCTGCTTACGTCGTTTAATTACGGTAAACGACGTAAGTAACAGAGAAGCAGCGAGGACGAGCAAACAAAATGCAATGTTTGATAAATCATTAAAAAAAAAATGGAGTTTTGAGACTACTTTCGCTGCACACTTGTGCACTGCGATGCCCTCTACCACTGTGTAAAATAACATTCACTTTTACCGTAGAAATTCATTCAGAGATAATTGGGCTCAAAGTGTGCATGTTTGGTCCCAAAAGCACTTTTCAAAAATCATTTTTAAAAAATCTAACAAAGCTCTCTGACTACTTTCACTGCGATGCACTCTACAATTGTGCAATGTGACATTCACTTTTACTGTGGAAATTCCACGAAAATGGGGGTCAAAGTGTGCAATATTGATCCAAAAGGCACTTTTTAAACACAATTTGAAAAAAAAACTAAAATACCTTAGAAAAATATTTCACTGCACACTTGTTCACTGTGATGCACTCTACTATTGTGAAAAGTGACATTCACTTTAAGGTGGGTCCCTCCTGGACCGCCACCTTTACGTGGTGGGGGAGTTTGAGCACTCGGATGATGTTGGGAGCTACGTTGTCTGGGGCTTCATGCCCCTGGTAGGGTCTCCCGTGGCAGACACGTCTCGGGTGACGAGTCAGACGAAGCGCAGTCCGAGCCAACCATGGACAGCACGAACACAAAAACCGTGATGTTGCGCGGCATGGCTCAGCCGGGGCCCCACCCTGGATCCAGGCCTGAGGCCTGGGGTCAGGGCTCGAAAGCGAGTGCCTGGTGGCCGGGCCCGGCCAGGCTCAGCCCGAAAGGACGACATTGGCAAGCCCTCCTGGGGGCCCACCACGCGTAGTGCAGCAAAGACTTGGCAGCAGTCAAAGGTGGAGACCTCGGCGACTCAGTCCGCACACACAACACAAGGATATTTGCAAATCAAATATCCAGTGGGGGCAATGTAACCTTGAATATTCACACCATTGTAAACGCTAAATGGTCAATTTAAATGAGCCTCACCACAGACCACCAAAAGTTCTTTGTGGTGACTTTTCAAAGTACCATTGTAGCACTTTGTGGGACAGTATGTGTCATATTGTTTGTTATTTCCATCTAAACTTTGTAAATTTGTGCAAAAGCAATATTTCCAGATCAATCAATTTGCAACTAAAACGTTTGAGTTTTGCGTTTATTAATCAAATATTCTAACATTCCCAGTCATCCTAGATCCCTTGTAAATGTGTAAATACAGAAAGCCACTTATTTAATTTACATGTAAGGTTAATTATGCAAGGTCTATGTACTGGAAATGTGTTTCAAATAGTGTTGGTGTAAAAGTATCCAAATTGCTCTATGTATTTAGAAGTCTATTTAATAGCTTTGAAAATACTTGATTAAGTTGAAATTGAGAATAGTCTGACACACAATCTAATGAACTCAGCCTTTGAATGTGGCAGTCAGCATCAGAATCCCAAATAAGTAGTACAATGAAACCAATGACTTTTCCTTAGTAACTTACTCTACACTGGTGACTTCGCAGTTCAATATTATCTTTCACACTTTCCCCCCAACTTCCTGTTGTACATAAATGTGTACAGCCATAAAAGTTACTGGTCTAATGTTTCTGCTTCCATGTCTTTGCAAAACTGGATATTCACACTTCATTGGCCATGTTCAAGAGTCTGGAGCTGAAGTTCGATGCATAGTTAATGTGATGCAACTTTAAGTTCCCACCAGTCAGACGTTTCTCTGAAAAGTTCAATACCACAGATATATTTCTGCCTTTGACCAAAGTGTTCAACGCTCAACCTGAGCTGACACACAAACTAAACTGACATCGATTTAGAGTTTCGGATCCCTTGCACAATTCTAGCAATACAAAACGTTAAAATGAAACTACAATATTTGGAGCAGATAAACAAGACATTATAGAAACACATAGAAATTTGCATAGATCTTTATTTTAGTAGAATCTATAATTGACATCAATTAAATAAAAGAAAACAAGAGCAAAAACCTTTAAATTACAAGAAATTTACACTGCACCATTCGTATAGTACAAAAATAGGCCTTATTTTAGAGTTTTGTTGCACATAAGAATCATTCATGTCCATCTTTAATAGGTACAGCCACAGGTCAGCAGACTGAATGTGTTCAGAATGTGCACGCGCAGTGCTGTGATCAGAGTCAGCCCTTTAGTTGATGTAAATGAGATACATTCACGCCCCACACCTCATGTCTTTGCAGATCTCCTTCAAGGCAGGAATGACAGGAACAAACTCAACGTGATGCAGCAGCACAAGCCCAATGTGTTTCATAACAACAAGAATGTGATTGTCTTTGGTTAGGCCAAAGATATTGCTCCTCTTCGGTCTCTACGTCCTAAGGCAGCCTCCATGACAGAGCGACGCTTTCTGCAGAAATGGACTGTCGAATTTTAAATTATTTTAACAACATCAGGATTTGCCTTTAGTAAAGGGCTTCACTAATGCCGCCTCCTTGCAGCAAAAGCACAAAACACTTATATTCAACTTATAATAAATAATAAATGTGTCAACTAAAACTATGTGGAATTACCCTTGACAAAAGCAGCAGTGTATTTCATTTTTCTAGCAGAAAGAAAATAATTTTATAAGAATATGCAAGCTCTGCATTGCCTGATCCTTAGTAAATTTATACAATTGATTAAAGCCCCACTTTATAGGTGGTAAAGAGCCTGTTGATGCGCATGGAATTATTTATGGAAGCAATCTGAGGCAAACTTATCTGAGATATGATTCTGCTGAAACGACATGTTTAAACCAGAGCTAATCTCGGCCTAAAAAGCAGCAGCTCTTGTGTCTCTCCTCACAGCCCCAGGGCATCCCTAACCACATTCTTTCTCAACAGTACATTTTTCTTTGTTTGTCTGTATGATATGCCAAAGAGCTCCACCTGCACAGGTCTTCAGAGATGACATTTCCTGGCCAGAAGAGGTGTTAAAACAAAAAGATCTAATTTTTGGGGAATTTGAAATACTCTTTCAGAATATAACCTCTGAACACAATTTGTCCTTTTAATCCGTCTAATGGGGTTGATTGTCTGAGAAAAACAAAAACAAAGGACTGGTTATAAGCCTTTTATGATGTCAGGAGAAACAAAGGTAGCAGGTCATCTGGCAATCGTATAAGACCAAATGAGCGCCTCCGCAGACTCCAGAGTCCAGAACAGTTTCAGCTGACCCTGCAATCTATTGTAGGTTTGACTTAAATAGAATATGGCCCCAAGTGCTGTTTAAAAACTGCATATGAAACTTTTCTGAACGATTATGAGAGGTAGATAAAAGGACGAGCAGCTGCACTCTGTAAGCACATCACCATGACAACCCCTCCGCAAGATACACCGTCACTGTAGAGAAATGAATGAACACACAATCGAAATGGGATCTTTCTAAAAGACGACACCGCGTGAAGTATTGAGATGTGTCCATTTCAAACAACACAAAAACGATTAAAAATAGTCTGGTCTACTTTGCTATAGGTTGAGTCTAACTGAATAAATAATCACAACAGCATCTGAGATAATTATGTTGTGACGACTTGTGGGGTGCGATAAAGGCTGAGCTTCGGTTACATGATTTTTAATAATAAATATTGTATATCTCTGGTTAGAAGATGCAAAGGAAGGGGCCTGTGTCACTTATTTAGATAGAAGCATCTACAAATGCTTAATGCCTGCAATAGTCGCTTTGTTGAAAAGACCGAATCCCTAATGGTGACTCACAGTTTGTTCTGCCAAAAAGAAAAGGATATTTCTAATATTGGTTTAAAGGAAGAGCTAAATCCTTTCCCATCACACAATGAATATGGATTAATAACCACATTTTCTCTGCACAAATATATCTGAAATGAGAAATGGGAACAGAGGACAGGATGTCGAACGCTCACAAACGTCTTGCTTTGTAATTACAATTCATTACGTTTGCCAAAATGCATATTTGCATTTCTAAAGCACTTATAATTAACGTAGGATCCACTCTCCAAACATGTGAGCACAGTTCTGCTAAACAGCACTTGAGTTCTGTCAAACGTTCTGTGGATCTGAGGTGACCTTCAAAATGTGAAAAGACAGTTTTAGAAAAGTCACACAAGCTTTTTGACACATCCAGCAATCTCGTCTGGCTACTGCACTTGGAGCAGGGGAACAGAAGGGCGCAGCACACAATCATTTGTTTTTGAGAAACAAAGTAGAGTGAAGCTGCAGACAGATGCTGTTAGTAATCAAGAGCTCGGAGAGAGGGAGAGCCTCTAATAGAAAAGTTGCCCAAGTGTGAAGACCAACCCGGCCACATCCAAGGAGGAAACAAGTGGGCTCATGAAGTCCACTGAGACAAAGGAGCAAAGGAGGACAGATAAAATCAAAAGTGAAAATGTGAGGAGACTGCATCAAAGCCTTTTCTAACACATGGGGCTGGTTTAAAAGCATTGGGGAATCTAAAGAGCACTTTGTGTTTTGATAAAGGCAGTCCTCTCATTTTCCACGTCAAACTCATTTTCCGAGTCTGTATTTGCCCCATCATCACCCCACACAGTAGGGATGCCCCGATATGAGACCACTCTGTTACCTCCCAGGCTGAAGTTTGCTCCCAGCCGAGAGCCAGCCTCCAGGGAGGGCAGTTTGATGAGAGCACCTGAGCGGATCTGCAGCAGCAGGAAGACCCCAACGAAGGTGGCAATAATGGCCACGCAGCTGAGCACTGCGATGGTGATGGGCAGATGAGAGCCCATGTCCACCTCCAGATGGCGCTCTCCATGTTCTCCTACCATGAAACCACTAGGAGTCTCTCTCAAGATCTGGTTGAGGTGCAGGCATTTTCCCGGGTTTTTCTCCAGGTAACTGTGCGGCGGACAGGACGTACACGCGTCCTCGCTGAGGTGGCTACAGGTGAAGCAGGGCGGAGGACACACAAGACAAGCTTTGACCGACGCGGGCTCCACAAAGTTCCCCACGGTGTAGTTCAGGGGCTGGGAGCCCACAGAGAAACCGGATGGACACTGTTTGACACAGCCCTGTTTATGGAGGTAGTAGCCAGCATTGCACTCTGTAACACACAAAGCACAGTTTAAGGAGGAAGCACTAAATTCTAGACTCATTTTTACTAAATCCCATTTATTTTTATTTTCACACTTACCCCCATTACTCATAAGATTGCACAGTGACAACAAATTTCGATTTTTTTTTGTCCGACATAAAAAAATAAAGTACCAGTGACGGCCTGTAGGGGCCGTCACAGATTTTCTCCAACGGGAATCATTCAATTAAATTAGAAACACAGGGGCACTCTCGAGGTAATGAAACAAATCAGAATGTTACTCCCTCTTCTGACAAGAATGACTCATGCTGATGCTGCAACAACCAACAATACGGCTGAGAGTATTTAGCAACCACCAGCAGATGATTCTTACCGATGCAAATCTGCCTCAGGTCCAGCGTCTTACAGCTGCTGCTGCCAGGCTGAAGCTTCTCTGCTGCTGAGTCCGAGGGGGGGCCAGTGCCATACAGTACCAAGGTGAACTGTGTCAGCGTGCCTGAGAACAACCATTTTAAAATGTGTTAAACATTTAGGTGTCAGTCTTTTTCAAAAAGTTAATAGGTGGAGCCATGGAGACTACTAAAACTACTAGAAACTTGCAATGGCTGAAGCCATTGCGATTGACTGCGGAACAGATCTAATGTGGAAATCTGCTAAAAAAAATCCTTGAAATCCTTTAAAAAGCCTTGAAACTGTTAAAATACTTGATAGATATTTGAAACTCCTGAAGTCCTTGAAATTGTTGAAACCTTTAAACTCCTGAAATCCTTGAAACTGTTGAAACATTGAAACTCCTGAAATCCTTGAAACTTTTTTAAACCTGGAAACTGTTGAAAGTGTGGAAACTCCTGAAATCCTTGAACCTCCTGATATCCTTGAAACTGGTTAAATTCTTAAACAGCTGAAATCCTTGAAACTACTGAATGTATTGAAAGTGTCCTTGAAACTGAAAAATCCCCTCACCGCTGAAACAATTTGGTTCCTGTAACTAAGGAAACCTGGTCTGTGGTCATTATCTGGTGGTGGTCTGAGTCTTCGTTTGGGTCTTGGTCTGGTGGTATAATGCAACCTATTAGGTTGCATTATACATGAAAAAACCCTATTAAGTTGCATTATACTGGTTTACATGAAAAAAACCCTATTAAGTTGCATTATACTGGTTAACATGAAAAAAACCCTATTAAGTTGCATTATACTGGTTTACATGGAAAAATCCCTATTAAGTTGCATAATACTGGTTTACATGGAAAAATCCCCATTAAGTTGCATTATACTGGTTTACATGAAAAAAACCCTATTAAGTTGCATTATACTGGTTTACATGGAAAAACCCCTATTAAGTTGCATTATACTGGTTTACATGTAAAAACCCCTATTAAGTTGCATTATACTGGTTTACATGGAAAAATCCCTATTAAGTTGCATTATACTGGTTTACATGAAAAAACCCTATTAAGTTGCATTATACTGGTTTACATGGAAAAATCCCTATTAAGTTGCATTATACTGGTTTACATGGAAAAATCCCTATTAAGTTGCATTATACTGGTTTACATGGAAAAATCCCTATTAGGTTGCATTATACTGGTTTACATGTACAAATCCCTATTAAGTTGCTTTATACTGGTTTACATGTAAAAACCCCTATTAGGTTACATTATAGTGGTTTACATGTAAAAATCCTTATTAAGTTGCATTATACTGGTTTACATGTAAAAACCCCTATTAAGTTCCATTATACTGGTTTACATGTAAAAACCCCTATTAAGTTCCATTATACTGGTTTACATGTAAAAACCCTATTAAGTTGCATTATACTGGTTTACATGAAAAAAAACCCTATTAAGTTGCATTATACTGGTTTACATGGAAAAATCCCTATTAAGTTGCATAATACTGGTTTACATGGAAAAATCCCCATTAAGTTGCATTATACTGGTTTACATGGAAAAATCCCTATTAAGTTGCATTATACTGGTTTACATGGAAAAATCCCTATTAAGTTGCATAATACTGGTTTACATGGAAAAATCCCCATTAAGTTGCATTATACTGGTTTACATGGAAAAATCCCCATTAAGTTGCATTATACTGGTTTACATGGAAAAATCCCTATTAAGTTGCATTGTACTGGTTTACATGGAAAAAACCCTATTAAGTTGCATTATACTGGTTTACATGGAAAAAACCCTATTAAGTTGCATTATACTGGTTTACATGTAAAAACCCCTATTAAGTTGCATTATACTGGTTTACATGGAAAAATCCCCATTAAGTTGCATTATACTGGTTTACATGAAAAAAAACCCTATTAAGTTGCATTATACTGGTTTACATGAAAAAACCCTATTAAGTTGCATTATACTGGTTTACATGGAAAAATCCCTATTAAGTTGCATTATACTGGTTTACATGGAAAAATCCCTATTAGGTTGCATGATTACACTGAAGTCCTTGAAACTGCTGAAGTCCTTGAAACTGCTGAAGTCCTTGAAACTGTTGAAGTCCTTGAAACTCTTGAAATCTTGAAAACTGCTGAAATCCTTGAAACTGTTGAATCCTTGAAACTGTTGAATCATTGAAACTGTAGAAATGTCTGAAAGAGCTGAAGTCCTATTAAAATGCATGGGCCTATTAAAATGCATTGCAGAATTCTCAATGCAGATTTTTGTCCGATTGCGGAAAAACCGGAAATCGCTGAAGTCCCAAAAGTAATAGCAATAATCTCCCAAACATGTGGAACGTTTTGATGTATAACTTGTGGAAATTGTTGAAAATGTGAAAGCTGTGAAACGTGTCAAAAAAAATGACGGAATAAAGAAATACAAAACCAATGGTTGACTGCGGAAGGTTCCGCAGTCAATCAAAAATTAACCTGTAAGGAAGATTTAGAGACACTTTTGTGTGAAGCCACTTCGCTGCATTGAATGTTTCCTTCAGAAGCTCATGGAGCAATTTTGTTTAGAGCAGGCAAGCTTTGTCTCATTTCACTTTTGGAAATGGACAAAGTTGAAAAAGTCAATAGTGACTTTCTAGAATACATGTTCTTAGTTTTTAATTTTGACTGTTCTCAATATGCAAGTGACCGTCACAGAATACACTCAGAGGTCCAGCCCGTCTCATCTGAGGAACGTGATCCTGGTGTTTAATAATGAAGTGAAATGGAGAATTGGGTTGTCTTTGAGACAGCCATGCATGTTCACACCTCAGAAGGGACGTAATGTGTAAGGGCATAATTTATTTTTCTTTGTACTCAGATACAAAGTACAACTCATGATTTATCAAATTTTATTGCAGATGTATTCCTAATTGACAGGTAGAATGGGCATGATGGCCACAATATCATGGTGTGCCATTGACGCACAAATACGTCAAAGTAAATAGTAACATTGTGTGCTATTGACGCATTTCCCGCTATTTTCACGTTCCCAGATGTCTATTGTATCTAATATGTATGGGAATGGCTTGAGACCATATTTTATCGAGCCAGCAGGTGGCAGCATTGCTCTCTGAATGGTTTGAAAACAGTTAGGTGCACATGTTGTGCCTCTTTTTTTTCAACTTTCTGGTGATTTCAGTAAAACTTCCCTCTACTCAACGGAGGATTACAGGGGAACGAAACAAGCTAGAAACAAAATTCTTTTTGCTGATGAAAGTAGACAGTCCATTCTTTTAGAATCTGGTGTCGGATTTCAGATAGTCATAGTACACAATATTCTGTGGGTCTTTAAAAATCAGTAAAAAACCATCAGAAACGGCTGGCAATATGGAAGTACCTGTTCTGAAATGGGCTGGCAGTCAATGAGTTAATATTGCAGTCCTCAAGCTGAGTATCCAATCAGAAAGCAGAATTAGCATCACATGATCTCTCATTTGGGTTGCCAGTTTTCTTGGGGAAATCTGGCTGGTATAGTCTACCAAAACCTAAGTAGGAGGACTGAATCAGGAAAAGCTGGATGGCTGTGTGCTCAACACGCAGGGATACAAACAGTGGTTTAGATTGTTATTGTAATGACTTAATTAAACCAGTAGGAGCGCAAACTACTACTTTTCCTTTAAAGTGATTGTCTGGAGTTTGTCAGAAAGAGAGAGAGAGAGGTGCTTGATTTGAAAAAAACGACGCAAGCTCCCTCCCCCTTCCTTTCTGATTGGTCTACACCTACGTTTCTGTACGTTTTAAATGTTAATCAGAGAACACATTATACATATACATTATTAATACACATGCACGGAGGTTTTCAAAATTATTTGTTAACGTTTTAATGAAAAAAAGCGATTGCGGCAAACCCGGAACAAGCTATTATCATGAATTGCACATTATAGGACACATCTGCAGAGGATCTGATTATGGATATAGGTTCAGTATATAAATGAGTACCTCAGCGCAGATGTTCAGAATTCTTTGTTCAGTTTTCATGTAGTTCCAGAGCCCAAGAGGCTTGATTCGGAGGTTCCGTGAAAACAAACAACTTAGCATGCGCGGAGCTGCGAGCATCAGCGCTGATGATTGACAGCCCTTGGCATGACTCGATTGGTTAACCTCGACGGCACCGTGGATTCTGAGCTATAGCTAAGAGAAGGGAAGGCGGGACTTACCCGTAATATTAGAATTAATAAAATGACTTATTTTTTATCAACATTTAAGGCCAGGAGGTCAATTTAACACATTTCCTAAATTTTTTAAATCATTTAGAGTTACAGACTATCACTTTAAGCCCACAACAATGCAAAACAGGCCATTTGCACATGTAGTGTTTGGCCTTGCGATTAGTCAGGTCAATGTTATCAATGCTGCAAATCACATTTAAAAAAGGAGACAAAAGTTTTGGCTGGAAGCCTGTGATTTACAAGGCGATGCTTTACCATAGTCACTGGCTCCGACAACATTTTCTATTTCCAGAGTCCAGACGCCCGCGGGATCCTCGTCCCAGGAGTGCGTGGTCATGAAAGCCCAATCGTTGAAGCCTTCTGAAGAGTAGTCATGAGGTCTGCAAACACAACATCAGCCTTTTGTCACTGGGGTTCAGATTATTTATGTAATAAGAGCAATGTGGTGTTTCCAGTGCCAGATTTTCATTATCAAAAAGTACATTAAAACAGAAAAATAATTAAATACTGAAACAAACTGTTACTAATTAAAGTTTCAAGTCAAGTTTTAAAAAGGTATCAATGATGTAGTTATGGCCTTTCAACTCAAAATAAAGCAATAAAAGTATACAAAATGGTAAAAGGTACAAAGCTTCATCTAAAAAAAGATGTGACAAGTTTCAAGCCTTTTAAAAGTGGCTTCAGTGCTTCACCGAAAGACTTCACGGGAAATCATAAGATAAACAGTATTTGAAATAAAATGAATGCTAAGTGGATTTGATTCAGTAAATAATAGGGGTTTTTGCTTGCATCTTAAATGTAAAATAAATAATGACATTAAAATTTGCAAATTAGTTACAACTTGCCACAGTAACATTAAGGCTTTTTAAAAACGGTGGTATAGCTGTTGATATATCGGTCGATCTCTCCAATACAGCAGCAGCAGCCGTTATACCGTGAATGAAGGAGCGTGGAGCGGGTGCCGGCCGGGCTGATGAGGTGGATGGCCAGGTTTCCTCTGCGGTTGTAGGACAGAGTGAGGCGAGCCTGAACGTGCTCCAGAGACTTCACGTAAGAATCTGAGCCAAAGCAGGCGCTCACACTCTTGTTTATTGATAAGTGAGTTCCTATGTTCCTGCCAAGCAAACACAAGTTATTAGGAAAATTAATAACCACAGAATAATACAACAGTGGATGTTTAAAGCAAAAGAAGCGTCTGCAGCGTTGAAGGATTAGAGCCAAACCTGAACCGCCACAAACAAAAAAGAACCATCTATTTTCACACTCTTAAATCGGCTTAGAGGATTCCACACAACCACAACAATTCAGAGTTGGATTAGAGCGTGCAGTCTTGTGACAGGGAGGCGCCCAAATTATAGACAAGATTTAATATAATCTTTGTGCAGTCTCTCCAGGTAGAAATATATATTTCATGATCCATTTATAAGTAAATTATCCAGTTGTCCTTCTCTGTGAAAAAAAAAAAAAAAAAAAAAAAAAAAAAAAAAAGAGTCCAATTTATGGACATTTTATTGGAGGATACACCCCATGAGATGTATCATCTCGTTTTCGTGGGGGGTCCTCATGATCATATCCAAAGAACATAGGATAGCAGAGTAGATACAGTCAAGTAAAAATAAAATTATAACAATAAAAAAAATAATAGACAGCAATAATAATACAACAAATTAAAGTAAAAATGATAATACTACAAATACTTAACACACAATCACACAAGCTCTCACTATTCGCCTACCCACTCTTTACTACTGTATCTTACAGATAGTCATAAAATACAGTAGTTATCATTTAATAAGTGTATATGTGTATATATTCATACATACATACATACATACATACATGCATATAAACAGATACACATACACACACATCTACACACATCTACATATAAACATACACATACATATATACAGTACATATATCCACACATACAAACACATATACATAGACATACATACATATGTCTAAAAGCATACACATATAAATAGCTACCATGCACGTATACATAAGCAATTTTTAATACACATTATTTTTTTTGCTATATATGAGATGTTACAAAGACAAGTGTTCTTAAGATGAGTTAACAGAGCCGTTCGGAACAGAGGAAAGGATGTGAGGGACCAAATGGAAGCTGGAAGGTTGTTCCAGTCACGAGGCGCCCGGACACAGAAAGCATAATTTCCTATTTCTCTGATTGAATTGAAACTGCGTGTGCTGGTACACAGGCTTTGACAGAAATGAACACTGCGTCTACATTTGCATGTTTATATAACTTCTGTAAGAGGTGAAAAAAAGAGCCGTGCAAACAATTCTTCAAAGGACAATTTATCAACGTCAGTAACTAATGAAACTACTGAAAAACATAATTTAAAAAATAATTAACATAAAAGGTGTCCTCTTGAGTGCAGCGCGGAGCTTATTTTAACTATAACAGTCATTCCACAAAAACATCGGTCAAAATCGTACATACATGATGATTTTGTTTTAATTTCTCGTCATCCCAGATAAGAGCAGACGCTAAAGACCTAAAATGTAAATTGAATAACCTGCTTGACTGCTGCTCCCAGAGGTCTGAACCATCTGCTCGGAGCATCTCCTCACTGAGCTGAAAGAGGCTCCGAGAGGGAAGTGACAGACTGCATAATGAAGAGCAGACGTCGCACTGCTTTAAGCTCAAAACCCAGAAACAAAAAGTGCCGGGGAAATACAGAGACTTGAATTGACAAGCCGTTATTTCTGTTTATAACCATCATTCTTCTTGAATTGAAAATGTTACGCAAGTAGAATATCTACAGCCAATGAAAGATGAGGACCATGCATCACTGCAGTGGAGCATGACAAGCCGCGCACACGACTGCAGCTGTAGCAAAAAGATGCGACTACTTTCCCTTTGTGATGATTTATTCAAAAAAGAACAAATGGTTTTGGCAAGAGAGAGCATGATGTTTGGTAAAAATAAAAGTTAAATGAAAAAATCTCATTTCACTTTTAAATATTCACTTTAATCACAACAATAATAAAACTAATAAAACTTATTGTTGTAACATGTTGCTTTTATGCATAACAAATTTCAAAACCGCACCCCACCTTTGGGATGTTTCTGATCAAAAGTTCATTGTGGCTTTAGTCCAATTTAAACATACAACGGACATGATGACCACATTATTTATGTAGACATTCAGGTTCTCAAGCCATGGAGTTTAACTGTTTTCTTTCATTTTGATTCCTGGTTCTTTGTTAAATCTGGCAGGTTTGGTACAAGTACACTTAAGTATTTTTAGTCTACAATGTTAGGGTATTGTTCTGTTAAATAACCAGCAGAGGGCGATCATGCTCAGTTATAGCCACTGTAGTTTTGAGATTGGATTTGAAGGACAAATGTATCCTTTAACTGCTTGTTTGAGACTCGTTTTAAATGTTGTGTGTTGCTGTGTTCACCACTGCCCTTTGTGGTCAACTCATGTACAACGTTTTTGCAAAGACACATCTGACTTTTACTCATACTGACAGAAAAATGCAGGAAAAAAAATTCTACATGTATCTGTGTGTCTCGAATGTAGAGCTACACACGTGTTCCATACAGGGATGCTGGCAACAAACAGTTATCGTTATTCTAATGGCTTTGTTAAACCAGTAAGGAACACAACCTGTTCCTTTAACATTGACATTACAGTTTTCTTTTAATCTTTGAATGATTCTGCGCACTAACCTGGGATCAGCCAGGATGGTGAGCACACACTTCCTCTGAGGCCCCACATTAGTCCATGTCTTCGCCAGCGCTACAATGGCCCCAGCATCCAACAGACCATATCCATACGAATGACTGACTGCAGGAAACGGGGCGAAACGGCACAATGAAACTCAAGTAGAAAGGTCTTCAATTCAAAATCTAAATGATCCCTCCAAGAAAAGAGAAACTACAATGCACCACTAATATTCCCTTTTAAAATAAACAACAAGAATGCGTACCTTGGCGCCCAAATCCATTGCTTCTCCAGTCGTTGGCGAGGAGGTGCGCAGGTTGAGAAGTTCGTACAACCAGATGCTGCATGTCCCTCCAGGTCAGGTTTTTACTAGGGAGAAGCACAAAGAGCAGTGACACATTTAAACACACCCTGCAAAGAGACCACACAACTGTAGAAGTGTTCAAACAGATACAATGTTGCATACAAGGGTCTGCTGTGTTTGAACTGAGGTCGTGATTGTCCAGCCTGCACAAGAACACGTGCAGAGGACACTTGCAGCATGTTAGTGGAAGGTTATATTCCAAAAGAACGTCTGGTTCATCTTTTGAGCTCATCATTCAGATTTTGGATCCAAAATATGATTTTTTTTTTTTTAATCAACACAAAATCTAATTGCGATGCTTCTCCAGCAGCGGGCTGTGTGACTAATTACTTAGTCCCAAACAGTTGGGATGTCCCTACATTAGCGCTGCATGGCTGGATAAGAATGATTAGAGCTCACATCAAATTGAGTTGTGTGAAAATGCATGACACAAACTGCCAGTGGGGTTAAAAAGTTATCTGTAAAACTGAATTAATCAATGTGTAAATGATCCAGCACCAGTAGTCTTTTGAAACCAGAATCCTAGAATAAACCAGCCTTCAAAGGGTTTGTGGGTTAAAGACATGTTGAACAGGTCAATAATAGTGGACAGTCAGTTTTTTGCTTAGTTATTTGGAATCCATCCCTAAACTGATAGCTACTCTTCGAGATACTAGTTTTCATATGGTAAGGAAAATGAGAAAACGATGAATTAAAAAGAATGCCTCTAGCAGAAATGGCAGAAAGAGTGGTAAAAAAACACTTACTTGGCCTCCAGAGCAAGAGCGATGATTCCAGCAGCGAGAGGCGCAGAGGCGGAGGTTCCCGTGTGAGAGTCCGTGCACTTCGATTTGAGGTCTGTGGTGATCTACGGAAAGCAACAGATGGTAACAAATATTTGATTCTAGATTTATAACAATTTGGAAATAACCACATTTGTTTCAAAGGGATAACAACAGACTATTTCTCTCTCTTAACATCGAGCACATTACCTCTGATCTTTGGCAGGGAGTGTGCATATCAACTCCCCTTAATGCGCAGCGTTTAATACTTAAGACTGGCCAAAGTGTGCATTAAAAGGCTGCTCATATCCCACTCTCTAAATTATACGAGGAAGGTAATAAAAGGTATTCTCTTAATACACGTTCTGGTACATAACCTCAGGGTCCCACCCACACACCACCATTCAATCTCCTCATTCAGTGGTCCGCTATGAGTGACAATACAATTAAATGAATGGAGCACGACGGCATTATGAGAGTGCCTACATGTCAGGGAAATGTCATAAGCTGTCTGCACCAGTCGGGCAGTGAACAGGCACTTTGGGTATGTGACAGGAATGCTAAAAAGCAAAGGGACATTTGAGCTCAGGCCCAACCAATACATAGTTTTGCTGAGAAATAACTACGGCCAAAATCTGTCCGATATCCACCTGGCCGTGTTTTTTTGGGCTGATTTCAAAGATGTGCAGATTGGATGAATTAATTGCAATCCAAAGCAGTGTCATGTCCTAATGTGAAGCCAGTTTGAGCGCGCACGTTACTATGGTTTATCTTGGGTATCTATTTGGATAATAAATAATACATCGCACATATATAGCGCTTTACAAAAGGTGAGTGGGGGCAGCTGCGGCAACGGAAAAAGGAGTGAGGAGGTTGGTGTCGGATCTGTAGCGACAGGAGGGACCGTGTTGATGGAGAAGGTCAGTGAGATATGAGGAGGCCAGGTTATTTTACAACAATGAAGTGAACTTATTTACACCTGTTGTGACTGAAGTGACTGTATTTAACCTGCAAAGAAAATGAAGTGTTACATATAGATTTTGTTATTCTTAATTTCCAAAAAAAATTTATTTGGGGAAAAGAAAACAGAAGACACCACAAACCTTGACACCACTATTGCATGTGGCACTCTTTTACCAATATTGTGCAGCTCTACTCTCAAAGCTGTTTTTCATGCATGTTTACACTTTGAACCATTGCGCTGCCCTGACTGCCACAGAGACACACAGCATGGACTTTGTTTGCAGTGGCTTTTAAGAATCAGATATTTGCTGCCTTAGATATGTCATTGGAATACTAGGTGGTGATCAGAGGGACTGACTTTCTACATTTTATATCATTAACCATTATATTACGGTCATTCACTTCAACACTAATGTATTAAAAATCAAAAGCATGTACTCACAATTTGTTTCTCATTGAGGTTTCCGGAGCTGTAGGTGGTGGCGAGGGTGGAGGAGCAGGCCTCGCTGTACCAGGGCACTTGGCCGTTCTGGGTGGAGCTGCTGATGGACAGGGTGTAGATGCTGTTTGTGTAGCCATCACAGTTGCAGCTGTCCCTTTCCCTGCCACCGTTTCCAGAGGCCCACACAAAGATGGAACCCAGTCCTCCACGGCCCTGGGGGTAAAAAGACAACTTTAATCAAATTTAAAAAAAATACAAAATAAAAAAACAGAAGAAAGTTCAGCCTCTCATTCATTTGTCACAGTACACATAAAGACCAGGACAACAGGTCATGCAGGGAAACATTCAGTTCAGTTCAGCCTCTCTGTATTATTGATCACATCTGGCGATGCACCACTCACACCACCATCCAACCCTGTTGTCACTGGGGCAATTATTTTCAGAGTCAGAGCTTCCAATCAACTTTATGGCACACGGCTTGAATGCAGTTGCTCTGTAACAAGGGTCTGCGTTAGGTTTTTCACTGGGTCTGTGAACAAGATGCCTATTAATCAGCCAACTACGTGACACAATCCCATTGAGCAGAATATATTATGGTAAGTGCTGCTTTCAGGAGGCAAGAGTTACCGAGAGAGACGGCACCACTTTATAGAGAAACACTTATATCAATATAGTAGAGTAATTTCAATGCATAAGATTTAGCCATAATGCTAAATACTTAATAGTATATTATCTTAATCTTAAGAGATATGTTATTTAACATGAACTGTACTTACAAATATGGTAATGTCAAAATGGATTTTGTCATGTGATCCTCGCGTTAGTTATACGCCATGTCAGTGTTCAACAGGCTGTAGCCAAAACTGCATCCCTTACAAAAACAAACTTCACAATACCATGACCACCTCCAAAGCCCAGTTGGGAACGTGTGAAAATATTTCAAAAAAATGAACACCACACATGAAACCTGACACATTTTGGGAGAACAACTTAAGAACTAAACCACAGATTATTCAAGGTTTAACTTTTGTCCCCGTAGGGAAACTTGTCTGCGGACGGTGCGGACACAAACATACTTGTCTACACAATATTTTTTAAAAATGCAAGGAAACCAATCATGCCCTAAGTGCTTGTGCAGTTTAAGTCACCAAAAGCATAGCACACACCTGATCACAGAAAAAGTGACCGCAGGGTTGCCAGATCCCATTCAGTTCACAAGCATCAGCGGATAGACAAAAGCCTGCTGAATATTTGAGCTCCTTCGCAAAGCATTAGTGCATTTGAGAATTATATATACAATATGCATTTGAGTCTGTCACAATATTAGAGCAACTGATTACTACAATTGAAGAGACCAAAGATGAACAGCTGATAATAGCATTATAAACAAAACAAACACTTTACCCGAACAGAAGCCATTAGCATCAACAGGACACATGTTTTAATAAAACCAACCAGACCCTTCTACATTCTGACACACATGATTTAACTGTGTGTTTCCAAGCACAGTTGACTTAATGCATTACACTGCACAGACTCAAACACAAGCGTAACTTCACATTAACCATTTGCTCTGACAATGTGCAGAAGACTCATCGCTACTAAAACTTGGTGGTCGATAGAAGTTTATAAACTATTGAATCCTGCTCAGCTTTCGTCCATGAGACAGAAAACAAGGTTTAGACTTTAGAAACCACTACAGCAGGCACCAGAGTAGGGGGCAGCTAGACATGCTCGTTCGGGTACCGCGACATGAAACAGAAATTAAAATCCCAGAACTCCACAATAATCACTACTGGATGTATTTTATGAAACAAAACTTTACCAATGACTGTCACCTAATGAGCTGACGTTAAACTGCGATAGCTGACGCCCATTTGCTGACGCAAAAGTAACAATAAAATTACATAAAAAGCGTGATGATATCAGTAAGACAATTGTCAACTTCAGTGATGCAGCACAAGTTCATTTAGGAAGAGAATCTTTGAGATTTTGACATTACTTAAAGTGCTTTGGTCCTTTGCTTTATTTTAAAATGCATGCCATTTAAACAGAGGTGGTATCATAGTCCCTGCCAAATCAAGTTGTGCAAATAATTGTCTCATTCATTTGAAAATGTGAATGCCTTTTATGAGAAACTATATACATGTCATGTTCTCCATTCTGTTGCTGACTGAGTGCAGGACTGTTCTGCTCACCTCTGTGACTCCATGTAGGAATGCTTCTTTGGCCAGTTTGGCCGGGCCGTCCACGGTTTTGCCGTCATCCTCTGGACCCCAGCTGGCACTGTAGACGTCAATGTGCTGCGGGTTGAGGCTCAGCGACTGCGCTTCAACCATGTCGGTCACCTCCCCGTCCAGCATGCGCACACCTGGTACCCACAACAAACGTGTATTTAACTGCACACCAATGAAAAAACATGAAAGAGGGGAAGCTTTGAAATGCACATTCAAAGCACTGGTGGTGTTTGTTTTGGTGGGACTACATCAAGAATGTATATGCTTTTGCCAAAATATCCATCTTTACCAAAATAAATAAAATAATAACTTTAATATCTCAAATTAACCCTTTAGTGAATGAGGGGGAAATACAAGCTTTACAAATGCATCATCATGATAAAGTGGAGCACAATGACAACAAAGAAGCATTTTTGTTTCAAAGCGCCCCACAGGACGTAAACCCCATTGAAGCATTATTAATATTTGACAACATTTTGCCTCTGTCATTTCTGTTGCATCTGTTCATAAATCAGCACAGGCGGCTTTATAAACAGACTTTGTTGTGTTTGGGATTTATGGACAAACAGCATTAAAGCTGATTACAATTTAATTGTATTGCTGTAATCTATTTCATCAGGATCACAGTTAATTGAATAAAGATCTTTTTGGCTCTCAAAGTGAAAACCACCGGTGGTGAGTGACACACTAGGAATGTGAATATGAATCTAATTTTATCAATAGGAAAACTGAATGTGTGACACACCGACAAGAACACCTTTGTTTTTTGTCCATTGTTGCGAATAACTTTCTTCAACACTCATCCATCCATCAATAACGTATATTCTAAACTAGTACAATAATGTGAGCTCCTGTTTATGTGGAGTTTGACCTACTCTACCGCAACAGCCCTAGATCAGGCGAAGCAGAGCGAGACCATCCTTCATCCATGAAGCCATAACAAAGATGACCGCCCAGGACAGAGGTGATGTAATGTGTTGGGGTTTCATTCATCATGAATAAACGGACTTATTTAGAGAATACAAGAATAAAAGTTGTTTGTGTTACGTTTTGTATTATGTATGCTTGGTGACATTCACTGCAAACGCGTTACCCCTTCAGAAACAAAACTATTCAAATCCTCTTTCCAGTGAAAGTGAAATCTATTGTATTTACTAAAAAGGAGTTTCACATAACTTGTGCCAAGCATGGAATGTGGAACTAGAACGTCATCATTATTGGGTATTTGTTTTGCATAAACCTACCCCCAATCTTTGCGTTGTAAGCCACACCGACTCCACAGATCCCATTGTTGGCCACTGCTGCCACTTCACCTGCACATCGTGTTCCATGTCTACACAGCAAAGGGAACATTGTGTACATTATGAAAAGATACAGCTTTAATATCAATGATCAGCATGATATGGATACAGCATTTACACTCTGGTCCGAGTATGACCTAGTACAGATTTGTGTGTGCCTGTAATAAAATGGAGCTAGTGTTCCTGAGGTCAGTCCCGCTGGAGAAGCAGAACAAACTCAGCCGGACAGCTTCTTGGCTTTGATTCTTTTAAACAAATCTTAAATCCCATTGGTGCAAAGAAAACAGTAAGTCAATGAGAGAAGGCCACAGTATATCAACCCTTGACCTGGTGAAATGAGTATCTCTAAAGTGCCTTAATAAAGTCAAGAGAAAGAAAAGGGGGTGTGGGGGGAAACGGTGAATTGGATTTGCCTTTTCACAATGGCTCTTTGATTAAGGAAGTCTTGAAAGTAAGATGCAGCTCTAGGGGCAGCAAGCTGGGAATCATGAGGACGGATGAGGATTATCACATTCAAGTCAGGTGCATTGCTGTGGTCTGCCGGGTGGATATACAATACTAATACCATTCATTGCACGGCACAATCTCCTGTAGACCACATAAATTCTCTCACTGGAATGTTAGGTGGGCAAGGACAATCTATCGGAACAGTTAGTAGTAAGGTATTTTAGAAAAGAAACCAAAATAAACAGTATTAACATAGTTGTGTGATCACCCATCCAGTAGACAACAACATCAGACTTTCTTATTACAGTTTTGTGACTTCCAGGTGAAACCCCTTGTATTTATCTCCACATTCTGGGCTTATCTTTAGAGCCCAATGTCACAAAGTACCCGTTTGTGATTCAGGGGACAAAAATGAATTCAGGGAAGATGAAGTACATGTAGACAAACAGATCATCCGTTCTCTAATCCCTCTTGGACTAAAATTAAAGTCTCCGAACATCAGAGCCATTATGTCAAACTGACAAAGATACAAATGTCAGGGCTGAAAAATACACATATAGATTGATTGTGTAAAGTCTGAAATCTGTGTGTGTTTCATCGGTGATATTTAGGTAGAAAAATATTTAAAAATAAAATGTTGCATCAACAAACACAAATGTGGCCTGTTGTCTAAACCAAGAGTTCATAGTCTCTTTGGTTGGGAGTCAAAAGCTTTCCTTTAAGACTATACTTTTATACCAAGCCATTCATCTTTTGTTTGATGCTCATCTTTTGTATCAGTGGTCATTTGTTGAACATTATAGCAAGGGAATTCTTGAGTTCGGATATTATTTTCTGTCCTCATTTGGACAGAAAATAATAGCTGTCAAAGCAGCAGGGGCCTGGAACTCACTTCCTCTGTCAGTAGCTCACAGGGACAGTTTAAATCCAGCCTAAAGCCATGGCTCAAAGATAATCAAGTGTGCAGTCATTAATCAGATGAAAATAATTAAGTGTTGTATATATTGTATCTCTTTGAGGCTAAGGGTCCAACATTTTACCTCTAGTTTAAAAGTCAATTAGGCCTTCCTATTAACTATTTGCACAATGTAAACCTGCTGTCACTTTGCCTCTGCCCAGGGATGAAGATCATCTTGTAGCCGTGTCCGGTCTGAACAACACATGTATTGTGCAATATCACTTCACTCGCAGTGTAGATGCTTTGCACTTCGAAACCGGAGTGGGGTCATTTTTGAGAATTGCTTGGCTGAGTAAATAGGGCCTAGCCCTATTTGCCCAAACCATATAGAAAGACATCAATCAGATCAAAGCCTCACAAGTCCAAGAAAAAGATGCGAGACTGTGAAATTTCTAGTGAGCGGAGGAAAAGCTGTTCACATAGATCTGTTCAGTTCTTAACAAGTCGCCCGCAGAATAATGACTACAGCTGTAACATCTGCCAACAACAAAGACATATTCCTTCACACAGGGGCGAAACATGAAGCCTTGTTATTGCTTATTTTATGTAAAGCAGATGTCTCCAATAAACAGATGATTTGTATGCAAATGCGATACATTTGTCACAGGTTGAGACAGTCACTCCTTTATGTCTTTCCCAATTATCATAAGTGTTTTCATAAGCACATTGAAGCCTCAGCGTCGACACTTAAGATGTACGGTTTCATCAGTCAGTAAATAAAAGAAAGCACATCATTTCTAAAAAGGTGTCACCCATGATACTGATCGTTCACAAACAAAGATGGATGCAGCGCGCGATCATGATACAAGACAAACTGTCACTGTATTTTACCCTCACAGAGAAGAAAGGCTTTATTCAAAACTTATACTTATTAACATATTAAAACATATGAAAAAGTTATGAAACAAAAGAATAGCTTGGGTTTATTTTAGTTCAAAGTGCTGCCAGGGAGAGCCCCACAGCGCTCCGGAGGGCGACTCCGGTGAAAGCGGCGCTCAGGCCAGAAGCACGTTCAGTATTCATACCCACAGCTGGCAGAACCATTATCACTCTGCTGAATCTAAACTGCCTCCTACAGGAAACTTTCAAAAGATATGCTATTGTCATCCACAGAGATTCAGGGTGCATCTGTGGACAGAATACAGACTGAAAATTATTATTATTATTGAACTTATAAGGCGATTGTTGGGGTTTATCTCGGCTCACAATAAACCTTGAATTCCACTATGTTTCTTTAAGTTACATAATCTTCTCCAATTGTTGAATGTTGATGAAATTTGAAAAGATTAATTAATGTTTCAAAAGAATTTATAGGCACCTTCATTTTTAGAATACTAATGATTTGGAATGGACTTTAAAAGGTCTTTCATTTCAATAGCACAGGAGGAAACTGCTTATGCAAGGTAACACTTTGCAATGAGTGATATCTGCATTCATTTCCAAATACGCATTCAGAGAGCATTCAAACATCGGGTAATGACACGTGCTGCGCCAGCATCTGCCCGGCAATGCCATGTTGAATTTGGAAGACTTTCTGCAGATCACAGCTTGGACAAACATGCAGGTGAATGAACACATTGGTGCAGAGCGAGCCGCACTGCTGCATGTTCCAGAGAAAAGAAAGACATCTTTATGAAGGCAACACACTTCGGCATCAAGGGAGAAACAGACACGCGAGTCTTGAGCCACTTCATGGCCGCCTACAGCTTATTTACCCGTGCATCTGCCCCGCTGTGTGGCAGGGGACAACTTTGGAGGTAGTCGATAAGTGCAGAGGTGAGCAAGGGCAGCACAGATACCAGTGTCTTAAATAAGCAATATTATGCATAAGTTTGGCCCTTTAAAAATTAGAATGATTTTAAGTGCAAAATACATTAGAATGTGTTAGAGGAATAAAGATGGTTTGCAAAACCATCTTTTTTTGTAACAGATAGCTTGATCTATAAGCAAACATGAAGGCCCATCTTCCGTAACATTAGTATGAGCAAATGGAGTGACACTGTGATATGGCAAACACAAACAGGTTTTCTCCATGGACTGTGTAGGGACAATGCTAACTACCTAGCTTCATGAAGTCTAATAAGGATGTGCTCCAGCTCTTAAATTAAATTAAATTAAAACTTTTCTTACTTTATCTCCATATCACCCCAATAAATGATCAACCAGCCTTCTATCCCAGAATTCAGCTAGTGACCAGTGCATGTGGGAATGGCTCGTACTTGACTCACTGGTTGCTCAGAATTCTTAGGGAAAATATGTCTCCAATATCCCCTCCATGAAGCGGTCTGAGCTGGCTCCAATAGTCGTGTTCCAGTACAAGCTGAACGCTATGCGGCCCATTACGGCAGTAATAAAGTAAAACTGACATTACCTGTTGTCATTGAGCTGCGTGTAACGAGGCTGGGGGTCTGGGTCAGCATCATTCACGTCATAACTGGCATCTGGGTCCTAAAAACAAACATGCATTTTAAAAAGGCCACAATAAAATTATGAAACACAATGAACTGTGAATAAGCAGCCATCAGCACGTTCTCCGGAGCTTACTGCAGCATAATGAAAAACCTTTTGCACTCACATAGTTCTGCATTAAATCAGGGTGGTTCTTCTCTATACCATCATCCAGTATAGACACAACCACTCCACGACCAGTGTAGCCTTGCTCCCACGCTCCTGTGGCGTTCAAGTCACGACGGTTGTCGTTTTTCTGCATGGAGATGGAGATTGCACATATTATAATGATCATAGTACAACAATCAAAGTATTACAAGATGACAGAAATGTGCTCACCAACAAAATATTCAAGTTCATAGAATATGATTCGCTATGAATCATTAATAAACATGGATCTGCAAATTAACCACTGAATATAATGCATCAGTGTTTTAATGGCCCAATTGTAAGAGTAGATGTGGGATAATAGCACGTGTCCATCACAAACACCCCCCACTGTCCCCTGTGGCCTGTCAGGTGCACTTTTAATGAGAAACAGACACTATATTAGCACAATGAGAACACGTTCAGCACTTTATGCTTTCGACAAATGTGTAACATCCCCCTTTGCAAAATCAACTTAAAGTGAAAATACACAGTATTTCAAATCAACTATACAATACATTTAGTTCTTAGTTGAAGTTCTATGTTGATAGTGGATTCCTTTTGAGACATTGGTCAGAATTAGATTAGATCTAGCAGGCAAGGAAACAATAGGTCATCTGTAATTGACAAAACAAGCATAAAATTAAGTTTGGGCTGAAGTTTCTGAAGTCCTCTCATTAGCAGGTACAAAGCCTTTATCTATAAGCCTTTTTGATGTCACTAACTACTCTGAGCCACCAGGGGAAAGGAAGCTGCCGTTGAAGAGCCAGTGATGCAAGTCTGTTTTGCATCAGCATGATCTCCCCTGCCTCAAGCAGCCTCTCTGTAATTGAAGGAAGCGAGTGGAGAAACTGGAAAAATCTCAGGGGTTGTTACAGCTGCTCTTAACAGGCCGTATGTATAATCTATAATGTGAAAACAAGAGCAAATGCTGCTTGGACACTTCTACACATTGTTAATGTCCCTGTGCAAAACAAGATTCCAATTGAAAATGTGGTAATTCACTGGCTACAGACTGGTGAATCAGTCATGTTGCGCATCAATGTAATCTTCTCTTTGGTAAACAAGATTACACCACATAAAGCCATGAACAACAACTCACTAACTTAATCAAACAGGTAAGTAGTTCTCAACAGTTCATGTGCGCTGCAACATTGAAATTTCCCCACTGTGGGACAGAAAAAGGATCTCTTATCTTATTTCTTATCTGGTATCGTTCTCTTATGATTGCTTCTCATGACTGCATCCATAATTCCATGCAACATGACACCATCATGTTATGTAACAATCTTCAGAAACATGTGCAAGAGGATTTAAGGCGACGAACACGCGGTGGATTTCAAATATCAAATGTTTCAAAATAGTTCTGTGAAGATTAAGAGATCATTTACTCGTCCCACGGTGGGGAAATTTCATTTTTGGCTCACAGGAAGCAACAATGAGCAGAACAATAGGAGTGAGGAGCAAACACAATTAAACACATGAGAATATTTTCTATTACTAGCTTAAAAAAAACAATGTATAAACCTATGTACTCTAGTCCGAACAAGTGAAGATATATATTCACTGTATTTGTGTATAATGTGAGTACCAGGAAATTACAAAATGGATTTTGTCCAGTCTTACCAAATACCACTGTTGTTCAAACTTTGGGTCAATAGGGTCAGCATAAAGGTCTCGTTTTCTCCTGCGTTTGACAACTTGTTGCTCTGCCCAAGAGACCTGCAAAATAACAAACAGGCTATAGATTATTTAAATGGAAAATTACTTATTTAATAATTGTTCACTAATGACCAAGCCAATTATCAAGTACTGTATGAAGTGTTTTAACATTGTATTGCATTTGGTCTATTCCTGATTATTTTCTGACAGAAGTACAAGAGATGCTGGAGTGACTATCAAGGTCAATATGTCAAACAAATTAAAATATATCCTCTGTCAGGGACTACAGTGGCCCAGGTGAGATTAGAGGAACAGTGGACCTCTCGCTAATGAGAGCAGAGCACATGACAGAGCAGAACAGAGCAGCTTGACACAAATTAAAATTTCATAATTGCACTATAATGGGATGCACAAGAGTCCGTTAGCTAAGATCTGTAACAGGCACCCACCAAGCAAAACCACCACATTGAGTCTGAGGTATCTGGAAGATTCTATTGAAGACTGTAGATGCACGGAATAAAACGCTAAAACATAAGCCCCCGTCTCTCTGCCGTCTCACGTCTGTCCTCCTATGCCACAAAAATGCTGGCCTGGATGTGAAAGGGAAAATGTGTACATGAAAGTACATGAAAAAGAAAATGCAGAAATCATGGCAAAAATGTCAAAATCTTCCGGTCATGTGCATCTCCTCGTGTCTCTGAAGCTTGTCCCGAGGTAAACTGAGATATTTGTTGCTGTACCACAATGTACAATGTACCATTCAAGTGTATTTATTTTTTTTCTTTGAATGAGAGTCAAACAATATATTAAAGCAGAAGCTATAAATACACCAGATTGTAGCCTTGGACTAATTTACATTTGTTGTCCCACAGCCGCACTCACAAACACATTCATCCTTAACTATTGTACATATTTCAGTAGTGGCAGGAATCTAAGCATACAAAGTGAGAACATGCAAACTCCCCGTCAGAAAGGCCCCGTCCAAAGATGGAATCAAACCCAAAACCTTCCTGCTGTGAAGCACGAGCACCAAGAAGTTTGGCAGTGGCGCACATTCACACATTTCTGTGTTGCAGAATTCTTTGCAGGAGAAATATATATGCCGCGATGGTAATTGGTTGGGTCTATACGTCGTTAAAAGACATTGCAGTCCTACTTTTATTGTGTGCAAAGCCTTTTGCTACAAACATTTGACACTCTACCCATTACAATTTATTGAGTTTATATATATAAAAAAATCTATTTCACATTAATTCTTTGTCGGCCAGTGTGCTTTAATTATAAAGTTCCAAACACACAAATCGAATCACTTTAAATGTAGATGAGCCAGTCTAACATATATCAACGCTGGTATAGATCTATGGGGATCAATAATTTATTTTTATCAGAGAAGATTTGTGAGCAGTGAGTTGCATAAAACCAGTCTCCCTTGACATTATTAGTGCATCCAATTAGTGAGAAGCAGGACTGGGGAATTGACAGGATAGTTAAAAGTGTGGAATGCAGCAGTCTGGTTTTGTTACAACTGCTTTCTGGTTAAACAAAATGGCACCAACTAAAAAGCTCTAATCAGACTGGCATGGCCTTTGTAAGTTGAATGCAGGACCTGGGTTGTACTTTATTCGGCCTCATAGGATACATTTACAGACAAAGCAGCCCATATTTTCTGAATGGCACCACGGCTTGCAATATTCACATTGATAATAAAGTGTTTATGAGTCAACTCTGTTAGCATGAAGCCCACAGGTTACCTAGACCAGCCATTCCCAAACTCAGTAACACCGAGGCCCCCTTAAAAATCTGACGGGTCTGCGTGGCCCCCCAAAATAATAACCAAGAAGACAACATTAAGAATAGGCTCTTCTGGTTATTTTATTTTGGGGAAATAGCCTCTGCTACAAACATTGTAATACAAAAATGATTACAGTGGATTATTCAAGTCAAATAATGAACACAAATATTTTAATATCACAAACAAAACATTATAAATTTAACATTAAATAATTATATATATATATATATTTTTTTTTATGACCTCCCGCGGCCCCCCTGCAGTACCCTCGCGGCCCACCAGGGGGCCGCGGACCCCACTTTGGGAGACACTGACCTAGACCATATCATTGAATGTATACCTTTGGAATACAAAGTATACCTAAAAATAGGGCTAGGCGATATGGCAAAAAAGTAAAATCTCGATTTTATTTCCTGCTTTAGACAATTTTCATTAAAGCCAATGAAGAGACTTCAAAATATTTGATCTTTCTGCTCAATATTCAAGTTTCAAAACTATTTTTAATCTGTTTTCCCAATACATATTATAAAAGTCATGTACAGACTGTGCTGATATTGCAAGTATAATTCAAGTATAAGTATAAATCATTGGCTGCTGGAACTCACAAATTGAATTTTTTAAAGGCCGATTAATTGCCTTAATTCGATTTATTGCCCAGCCTACCCTAAAAATGTTTTGATTGTTTGGCCCCTCAGTGCAGCGTTCAACTCAAGTCAACAGAAACGGTATGACACATTTGAGAGCCAAAGTAATTTTGTTCAGATCAAGATCATTTCAATATTTGGCAGTAAAAAAACATTTCTACTTCCCTGTTGCCGTCTGAATGTAACTGGCTACAAACATATTAGGAGTCTGAAACACAGCCCAGACACTGACAAATTCTGCAGTATCGTCATAAACAAAAGATATGCAGGAAAAAAAGTTTTAACTGTGTTTGACACTAACTTTAGTAAATCGATTCACGGCCTCGGCCGAGTCCTGTTATGATCTATTGTGACATCTTTAACATGACCCTCCCGAGGATAACTGCAGTAAGACAAAAACAGTGGTCAGAAAGAAGAAAGGAAATATTCATTTCTTGAGTGATTCTTGAGTTTCCATGTTAAGATATGTGGGTTTTAAGAGTAAAAGTTTAGTGTGAAGTTTGGTTTAAGTGGTCAACTGCTCCTGTCAATCAACACTACGCAGCGAGGAGTCGTTTGCTTCGATGTGAGTGGTTGAAGTTGCACATCATTCAAGATCACGGGCAAGTGGTTTATCCAATCACAATTTTTTTTTTTTTTTTTTTTTTACAAGGCCCCACCTTCTGAAATGCATCTATTGAGAAATCCCAGGTCCTTGCGTGGAGCTCAACAAATTACAAGGATCTTGTACTTCTGTAGCTTGTAACTGTGGAAATGCACATGACGTAAGATAAGTACATTTCACAGGATCTGACACAATCCCTGACAGAGAAATGACAGATTGTAAATTCTTTAAAAAGTACACAATAAAAATTAGTTCATTGCTCCTAAATTTTCACTTTTGCTGTTTTGTAATTATTATTGTTTGTAGCAAATAAAACCTAGTATCTTGTTAAGGTGTGTGCAGATAGACCAGGCCTTTGAATGTTCAGTGGAGCCCATTAGCAAGGCTTTGTTAGCTGCATAGCCACTGGTCTGGCACAGGCCCAAGCTCCTTTACAGTAATTAGACACTTTTCAAAGACAATTTACAGAGTCTTTTGTTCTCCTCCAACTGTTTAGGGCTGCGCCAATGGGATTTAAAAATGCTCCTGTTAGATGTAGTTTTACAAAGTTCATGCATAACTCGGCAATGAAGTAACAGTGAATCAAACAAGTATATCCTGAAATGGGAGACTAGAAATGACTACACCCAATTAGACAATAAAATGTGATAACAAAATACAAAATATATTTCTTAAAACAGAAAATTCTTGGGATTTTTAGACTTTTCCAGAGGTGCTGAGGGAGAAAAGGAATTCAACAACAGGAAATTGAGCTGCTGTGGTAAAGAGGAAATCCCCAAGAGGTGGTGGGCCGTGTTGCACAAATATGGAACAAAACAGAGACTTGGATGCACACCTGTGGCATGTGGCCAAACAGCTGCCAACAGGAGAGCAAACGTTTGAACATTTCTCCAGGAAATCTGATGGACGTTTCACGCGTTGTGTAAAATATAACTCAATAGCGTAGCACAGTTAAATATAATATTTATTATAAAGACATTTTATTTTCATTCCAGTAACTAGTAATATATTCTATATTACAATAAGTTTATTGCCAAAAAAAGTATCTATGAAAGCCAAGAGGAAAAAACAAATGTGCAAATAACAAATGCTCCAGTAACTACTGTTCAAGCACAGATCTCAAAGCACAAAAAAAAAAAAGACTACGGCAGGGCAGTTTCTTGGAATCCGATGCCGTTGGTGAGAGATTCTAAAATAACTCTTGCTGCATTCCCAAATAAGTCAGAAAAAAAGATGTACATTCACGCTTGGTCAAGTCATAAAAACAACTCTGGAACTGAAAAGCATCTTCACTTGCTGAGAGGAAACAGACCATTAAAAGGAGCATTGTGGAGGATTTTGAGTCGGATTTCACTGCATATTCCAGAACAGGCACAAACAGAACAGTTAGGACAATTTATCCATAGGACAAAAACATGCATATTCATGGTCCAAAAAAACTATTTGTATCAAAATATACAATTTAGGTCGTGCAAGCATGAAGTGCTAATAATCAATAGATAAATATGTAATGAATTGTGTCAACAGTCTGAGCACTGGACTAGTTTAGTCTTTACAATGTGTCAATGTGGAGCATTTTCCAAAGCAGAGACACAGTGATGGAAACGTTACCGCAGCCGTTTCACTACACATGATGTGAGGAGCCCATCAGTCTTTATCACTGGAGACTAATGCAGATGTTTTGTAAACTGGATTACTTGTTTTACGGAGGAAATAATTGAGAATGTGGAGAATGCTGCTTTATCAAGTTAGAGAGGTGGGCATTGTGTTTTTGCTTTGACTGTTGCAGTAGTAATGTCAGTCAATTACCAGCTGAACAGTGTGGGTTTAAGTGTGATACAGAAGGATCACTCATCTGGATCACACCTCATCGGTTAAGCCGTCTTAAACATTTTCTATAAACTTAAACACACATTTGTATGCTTTGTCCGCTTAAGGTTTCAGCAGATTTCAAAACCGATTTTTTTTCCAAACAACAAAACAAAAACAAAAAATGTCACTCCGTGTGTGATCAATAACCGCTTCTGTGACTACATCGACCTACGTTACATTATTCACAGAATCCACCAGCGGTACAGCCTAGGAAAGAATGCTGCTATATTATTCCATACAACTCCCAACACTTGTTAGATGCTCATACAAAGTCTTTCAAAGCTTCCATATCATACTTTTGTCCTGAACTTTGTTTTTGTCTTAAAAACAAACAAAACTGGCAAGTAAATAGAATGTTGCAGAACTTAAACAACAAAAGAGCAACACAAAGTTAACCATTTGCATTTACATCGCATGTAGTCTGATTTCATCTTACCTTTGGATCTTCTTCTAAGCGAACTTGAGTCTCTCTGTGCTCCGATAAGGATCTCTTTACTACTCTTCGATGCCGAAAGTTGTAGTAATCCCCAAAGACCTTGAAAAGGGAAAAAAAAGTTCTGTTGGTTAACCTCCTCATGGTGTAATATAACTGATGCACATTGGTCAAATTCACCATAACCTTTGTTTTTCCTTTATTGAAGCAATAAAAATTATACAATTAAAATCTAATATCAACACTTGCACTCATAGGGTTTGAGTCAGTGAGAAACCATAAATAAAAAACTTTTCTGAATGAGAGAAATATTTGTAAGGTTACAAACAGGAAGCTGAAAGCCACGAGTACAGGACTGACTGTAGAGCCGAGTCAAGAGTCTTCCACAACTCATGGGAGACACGCTCATGAATACTAAATTAAATATGTTTTATTATCAAGGCCCTGTGAGTCTTAAGCAGAGTAACCTCACAGGTTCAGGGACCCAATTTGGGAACCCCATGGATGTACTGTACAAATGGTCTTTGCACTTGTCATTAATAAGTAACTTTGTTGAACGACTATAGCCAAAGCAAAAGTTTAATTATTATTCATCTTTCAATTATTGTAGCAAGTTACATATGGGAAGAACACAGTAACATTAGGTAACAAGCTTGATAGTTTATATTTATAGGGAATATCCCAATCAGTTTTTTTGTGTCAGGTGAGTTTGTTTTGAATAACAGGAAAAAGTTCACATTTTTAGAGTTTAGTACAAGTTTCCATTTCACATCATTGGAATTCATCTTTTCAAATAAATTCAGCACCTCTTCACATTTACCGCTGACCTCAGACTGATCTGTCTCTAACCTTGAGTCTTGCAGTTTTTAAAATGAAACGGCAGGAGACGCACTGCATTAAAGCTACGCTCTGTGCATTGGTCCGAATTATGCTCCGCCACAGGTCTTGTAAAAGCGCCTCTACTTTCCCGTTCTTCAGAGCGTGGCACAACCTCCTTTGGTGCTACTCATGTGAGGGAAAGTACCAATCAGGCTCTAGCTAATACAGTGACCGTTTATGAAGTTTATTCTAGATACTATATCAATCCAGTTTTCCCTTTGCATTTCCCTATAGCTGATTTTAGATGATTGGAATCAGAGCTGTTTGTCCAGTTACTTAGTTTTTGGTCCCTAGTTACTTTACATTTTTAGATATATAATAATTATTATATTATATAATCAATTCTACAGAGATTTCTATACCTTTTGATCGAGACAATTATCACCACCATGACTGTCCTAAAATGATATATCACATGCGCCATTTTAGCCCAGACTCTCAGTGACTTTGATGTCGACTGGATGGGCACAAAATATCCTTTTCAGGGGCGCAAATGGCCACATGTTTGAGAACATTGCCCGAGACTGAGTTTCTAGCTTGAAGAACGCAGAGGCTGATCTCAACTATGACTCACAGGCTGAAAATCAGTCTTACTCAGGTCCCTGCTGTACCATGTTGGCAGAACGGCACCGGCCTTTCCAATGCAGGTGTTCTGTTTATGAACAAACAAGGGTTTATTGAGCAGGATAACTGATTCACCAGATCAAGAACAAAACTTGAAGGTCCATAGATTTCAAACCACATACTGCTATAGTGACTTTAATAGTGGAATGACTTGTCCTTTCAGCTGCTTGTATTTAATCAGAGTAAACCGGAAGATTCCCACCCAGCAGACACAAAAGTTTGCCGCTCACCAAGACTGCAGACAATAGATTTGTACGATCACCATAAACTGTCTCTAGTGCGTGAGGGTTAAGTGCGCACATTTAAAACAGCATTAACTGACCTGATGAATCCTTTATGCTGGAAGATTGTGAGAAAGAAAAAAAGGTGCCATGATCAAAGATGTGAGATCTTCTGCAGCTGTATAGACTGAAGTCAAAGTGAAAGCCATGCGGAGGAAAAATAAACCAATGTTGCAAAAAACTATTCCTCATTTAAATGCATATTTTTTATAAAATCATTGACAAATACCATTCCCACAAGTCTAATTGACAAAGTAATGTTCCCCAAAGTACAACCATAAAACCATTACAAACTACATAGAACTACATAGAAATAAACCCTCAGCAACTCTCAGTCTTAAACAGTGAACTCTTAACCTTCATCATGCAGCCTGGAGGACCAAGATTTGAAGTGTGTGGTTACATGAGATCGGACTCTGATTCTCAATTGGAAAAAGGCAATTAAAACCCAAAATTCATTGGGAAAATGCAAAAACACGGCTGACCATTACTGATGGGAAAAGCTGGACCTGATAACAGTCTCAAACGCGGCTTGGCAAATGGAAAAAACATTAATTCATCACTTCATTAAAATGCAGAGACTCACGGTAGAAAATGACTGTTTGCACGTCTGTGCCCTGCCTGCCCATCGCATTTACTTAGTGGGGAAACCACTTATCAAAATGTCGGTTGGCTGATCTTCAGGGGCTGTTGACACAATTACGTTTTACAAAGAGCGGAACAATGTCATCTGTGTTGATGTTTGCACTGAAACAATATATTGTGAAGCTGTGAAAATGTCAAAAACAAGGCTTTTATCAACAGCATTAACCTGTTGCCTCCATCAATCACAGCTCATTCTGCTTCGGTTATAACTGTGGTACAATTTGATTAAGTGCTTTGATGGAAGGTACACGTTTTGTTTATGCATTGGCAGTTGGTGATTAATTTACAACAAAATTACGATGGCAAAGGTAATATAAAGCTCTGAAACTATTCTCCTTTGCACTTAAAAGAGACAAAGCCTTATTACCCAGCAGAGTGATGTGGGTAAAGGCTACAGAAGCAGCTGAACAGTCCCTTCTTTAGAAAAACCACACAAGCTCATCTGAGATGGGTTTGCACAGCTGCTCTGCCCTAATGCCATACTTTGTAATGTGGTCATAGGAACATTGTTTCCCTTTGTAAATATGCCCCAGGGCTTTACTTTGCATCTACTTTAATAATGAGGCATCACAGACATCCATATGAACACACAACATGCATGTCTTTCATTTCAAAATGAATCTGTATTTTAACATTAAGTATTTATTAAAATTAACAAATAACTAGTCCATTGCAGGCTTAATCAACTTATCAGAAAAATTATTTCTTCCAAAAAATATCTGGCCCAGAATATACTTCCTAGAATAGGGATGTTCATAACCGATAAACTTCTTACATATTTTGCAACACCAGAGTACCAGAGGGTTACATATGACCATCGTTTAGGAGGAATTCAGTTAATATTTGACAATTTTGCAAGAAGTTCCACCTCTTAGAAACAAGGGTTTCCCACATTTCAATTCTATCACGTCTTTTCCCTTCATGCTGCTTTCCCTTTTCACCAAAATTACAAAGAACCAACGTTGGCTCCTTATTGGCAACATAAAAAGACACAGCAAAAAACTGAATGTGCCACCGGTCGAGCATGCGTGAGTGGTAAGCACTTTGACCTACAGTACAGTACGAGCCTTCTTTACATTTGTCTCCCTAAAAGAACCCTCTAAGCATTATAATTATAACGATGCACATAACATTCTCTCTAAATGTATATAAGAGATGATTGTTAAACAGAGCCAAATGGGAGACACTGCACTATTGATTAGACTGGATCTTTTAACATGTGCTACTTTGAAAAATTACAGTTTGAGTTTTTTTATTACAGGTTAAAGTAAAACAGCTATTGTGTGGACGACTGCTCCAAATAATTGTTACAGAAATAGGGGGAAACATGCAATCCAAAGCCACATTATTTGTAAAAAAAAAAAAAAAAAAAAAAACATAAAAAATAAAAATAAAAATCATAATTTTACTCATACATCACTAAACCAATTTTATAATAGATAATTAAAACCACAAGGATTAGAACAAACAGACTGCTTTTATCACTCCAAGGAACAAGCAGAGGAACAGGGACAGTCAAATAGGAGCCAAAACCCCCCGGGGCAAAGGCTGATTGCAGTATTTAAACATTACCAGGAAACCAGCTCATACAGTTTGCCTAAATTAAACTTGTGTCAAGAAAAACGTTTGGCTGCTTGAATGTTTGTTTTGGTCTTGCCCCAGATTGTCTAATTCTGATTTTGTAGTTTGAGCAGTTATTTGATTCATCATGTCAAGAGTTTATTTTATTAAGACGAAGCTTCTAATATTCTGAGCAACAACAATTGAAAGTTAGTTCAATAAAATCAAATGAAGCAATAGCGTAAAAGCAGAGAGCTTATTTGGTCAACTTTAACAAATTGTAACATTTCTTTCTAATTGACAGCTTCTGTTTGTCAATTGCATTCATGAAATGAGGGGTCAACTATTAGTAATGTAAATACAATTGACATTGTATTTACTTTGTATGAGTAACAATATTACATGACAATAGTTGCTTGTTGTTGACCAAAAGTTCTCAATCTGTTGTGATACTAGGGCATAACATTCCCATGGAAAGATTAACTTTTCTAATCTACTTTACTCTTTACAATGCTCCTACTTCGTTGGAGCATTGCTTCAGGAATTGTAATTAGAAAGTATGAATATTTGTAAATTAACAGACATCCCAGTGGAGCTCATGCACCTGGCAACATTAGTCCAATTACTAATCCCACTACAGTTCACTTTGAGCATGTGAGTTTTCAAAGAATGTGTTTGATGACATAACCAACAAGTGATTGTTCTGTTACATTTCTGCTCAGTACAGGGCAGTTTCTGCAGTATTCCATTTGCACCCTGTCCCGTTTCACTGGCTTCAGTGTAATTGACCACAGCAACAATACTGTTACACAAGGGCCAAGGTGTTGGAGAAAGACCTGCACTTTTCTATGCTTTAAAGAAAAAGTTCTCATTACGTAATCATTTCTAAATTGTAATGCATTCATTTTTACCTTTTAATAGCCCAGGTTGCTGGCATGTGTGTGATACGGGCTCCAAGTACATTTAGTTTATAAAACACAAGCTCCGTAAACAGAATTGACAGAAAAGGCAGGACACCATAAATAAAAACCACTACATTTGTCAGAGAACCTTGACATTGTCGTTTGTGCGATATATTTACTTTGTAGCAATATTGACAATATAGGCCTCAAC